TTACGTAGTACTACATACGCCAAGTACTATTATTTTATTAACTTTAAGAACAAGTTTTACATAAAAACAGGCAACATCAAAAAAGCTCAGTTGATAAATGAACATAATATATCACAGATGATTTCATTCCACATTAACCTACATTTATTAGCTTAAACTGAAGGATTAGGGGAAAAATTGGATCTCATTCCACCTTTAATCATGAATACAAATCGTTTGAAAGTTATTTCATTAGGATTCTGAAAAATCAAAGTTTAACGTATGCCATCTGATCCATGCAGCAAGTGATAAATTCAGTATTTTCAAAGGAAACAGAATTTTTTTCCTTGCACCAAATTGAAACCTTCCAGAAACTTGTTTAAATGCATTAAGTTCTTAGCCCACCTTTTTAGTATGCATGAGCAAAATACTATTTAATTTCACACTCAACTAATCCTTTAATAATTTTCTTTCAGCCAGAATGAAAAAGGCTATTATTAATTTCCTAATAAAAATTTTTTAAAAGTTATTGAGGATATGACTCTAACCTTGGACCAGGTTCAATTTCTTTTTTATTTTTTCTGAGAATACACCAAAGATTAATGTCAATGGCAAGCGAGAAATTGTCCCTGGAGAACTATTCAAGGTCTTTTCCTTACCACATCTGATTGGACTGGAATGAATTGACGTTATAGCATCTTTATCATCACTTTTAAAATACTACTTTCTTTTAATACTGACAGTGACGGCTTTAGAACTATTACTTATTTTAAACTAATAAAGTATATCACAGACAAAAATATACAATTTTGCATTAAAGCAACATTAAGGGTCTCAATTTAGTTGACAAAAAAAGAGAATGGTGAGAAAATTTACAGGTATGATTTAATTTTTGAGACTTCTCTTCCTTTAGGGAAAATGAATGAAACTAGAGCTCTCATCCCCATGGGCAAGATATTGCAGACCTCATGATCAAAACACCTGCCAGTTAGAAGCTCATTCACTGAAAAACAATCACTGCAAGCTCAGTGTTGAAGCTCAACACACACACAAACAAGGAAAAAACACCCCGACCAGAGGCATTCTAAGCCTCTACATTCAATTTCCTGTTTCCCACCAGTTTACAACCCTTAATGTTACTGGATGGATGGTTGCATATTTGAGATGATTAAAAACTAAAAGACTGGCTTAAAGCACCTCCTCCTCAAGTATGTAATTACATACAAACTAAAGATTCTGTCAGTTTTAGGACCTCCCTACCCCTGTAACTGTTTCATGTATAAGCACCATGGAGCCAGTTTTTAAAGCACATTTGCAGTTATCAAAAGTTTAGTGTGTCCTCAAGTTTTATTGATTTATTTGCTTTAACAAGACAAAAAAATAAAGTGTGTTCTTATTAAATCTAAAATGACAACAATGTTAATTTCGGAAGTACTTTTAATCCCTATTTTCCTCAACACATTAAAATGGCTTTATGAAATGTGATAATTAAATAAGGAAGTCCATAGTTAAAAAAAGATGTCCGACCCTTTATATTACATGCAAAGTAAGGGTTTGTTTAAGAGTATTTCACTCAAACTCTTGATGGAAATGGCAGACAATATATGGAAAAGGCTGACCTGTGAACTGACCATTTTCAAAATTTTTGGACAAAAAAAAATCATGTAGCAGTTTAAAAAATTAGTGACTTACAATTAGAGTAAAAATATCTACAGTATGTGCCAGGTAACCCATTACAAAAACAAAAGAAAAAAAAAACCACACTCTTATCTGATTGAATAATTACATAAAAACTACCGTCTTGGATCATGGTGCTTTCTAAAATTCTGAAGTCGCAATTAAGAAGACATCAGATTGTTTTTGTTGTTTTCTCAGTAGAGTTGAGAAGTTGGGAAGAGAAGGAAGTGAACCTTTACTGTTAGGTACAGGTCCTGTACAGCAAACTTCAGTCTGGGGCTTTTTTTTTTTTTTTTTTTTTCCTTTTTTTTCTTTGAGAGGTTTTTGGTACTGGGCGTGTGTGCTCACCAGAAAGAGACAGAGACAGAGACAGAAAGCGAGAACTCACCCCCCAGGAGGGATGGCCACGTCCTGATCCCCTCTCCATGCTCCTCTCAGGATCTTGGGCACACACGCACCCATGCCTGGCGTGAGTTTAAGCCACCAGGTCCTGGACTCGAACTATGGTCGATTACATGAGAGTCCAGCAACATAGCCATTACATCAATGCTGGTCCCCAGCCTGGGGCATATTTTCATGGTCAAATTAAAAACCTTCATGAGTAGAAGTTTATCATGGAAATGCTGACAGATCCTTACCCAGAGAAGGGCTAGGGGCAACACAATAATATTAAAAAAGCTCTCTCTCTGCACAATCAAGCTTTAGCACGGGGAAAGAGCTGTCTAATGGATGCTGTTGACCAGCAAAACTGTGATTTAACATGCTTGAAGCCTTGGTCATATGGTAGCTCTGTGACCCTCTAAGCCAATTTTCTTTTTTTTTTTTTTTTTTTTTTTCCAACTGAAATATGCCTTAAAGGATTGCAATGTTAGCTTTCATTCATGGATATATTGCTTTCTTTCAACAATATCTGACAGGCCCGTTAACCACCACCCACGGGAGTGCTGAGCAGGTTGCAGGAAGGTCTCATTGAATACAAAACACCAAGGGTTTTCAGTAGTTTATTCACATTTTTTTCTCTGCTTATTTTAGTATGCACCACGTGTAAGTTAGATGAGGGCTACGGTAAAAACATTTTCAATGACTGTAATCTTACTTTTCCTTCTAACGATCTGGAGCAAATCACATATTCATTGATCATAACAAATAAAATGATTTGTGCTACAATGTTGAGAAAAAAATGTGTTCATTGATATGAACAGTTCTCATCTACAGAGATGATTTACACGATGCAAGTAATGAAGGAGCTCATCCTTAACTAGTCTACTATCGAACTGAAAAGATGGATCTTAAAATTCCCTTGAAAATACCATATGGTTGGTCATGTGTCAGTAAAGACAGTCTCCATCACCAGGCCATCACCATAAGAGCTATAGTAAATACTTGGAAAAAATATGGAAACACTTGTGGCAATGATTAAATTGATAATTACAGAGATACACTGCCATAATGGTACATTATTTGTTCTATGATAAATGAAATAAAAAATAAGAGCAATTTGGTTATAGAAATTCCTTAAAGAACACCACCACTTAATTATTTCAAACTTGAACTATCCCAAGAATGTCGAGAAAAAAATTAGAAAGCACTGGCTAAAAGCAAAGCAATCTGGATACACCAACGTAATCAGCATGCCTTGTGCTTGTCTGTTAACCCTCTGAGTACAACTCTGACATTCAGGATCTTGGTAGCTTAATGCTGGAAAGATTGCATTCCATCTGATTACTCAATATTTCTACTTGACAGGTCACATTCCACTGTTTATTCAGCATAGATCAGTCAAATTCTACAGCAATATACTGGGATGCCCATGCTGAATAGGCCCTGCATTCTTCTAAGCTGCCCCTCTGCAGTGTGCTGAGAAACACTCCACAGCTTCACACGGTCCAGAGTCCCCTTGACACCTATGAAAAAGGTCTGAGCCATGCACTGTAGGTTCTATACACTAAATGCTGTAGCAATACATTTAATTCCCACTAAAAACACAGTACTTAAAAAAAAAGAAAGAAAATGACAATCTATTGCAGGTAGGTCTCTACCCACAGCGTTCTTTGTTTTCACACATTCATAGTTGAGGCCAAGTTATATGTTACTCTTTATCCTTAGAACAGTGCTTTGCTTTATAATTTCAGAGAAAGCATAATTTCCAACTAGTTCAATATCCTTGATTAAGATGGAATATACCTCCACACCGACACCCTTCCTGGTGTTCTGTGTTCCCACTCTCCCCCACCGAAAAGCAACTGAACTGTTATATGCTATTTTATGATTTTGTGTGTTATCATTTCTGGATTCTCTAAAAGGGGGAAAAATTGCCAATAAGTGATATGCTATTTACATACTAGGACAACACAGACATAAGCTGAAATGTAGAAGAGAGAAAATCTGAGAGACTGTGTTGCAAAGATAATAAATGACATGTTGTAATTAAAAGAAAAAAATCTGTATTCATGTAGGCCACGGTTGAAAGGCTGAAGAGGAAAAAGCAGTAATTGAAGATCATTGTGCAATGAAATAACTGACTAGAGAAAGATCTTTCAGAAAATTCAAAACTCTCAGATATTAAAGTATATAAGACAGAGAAAATAAATGCTGTTAAGCCACCCAGATACGAATTTCATGAGATATCCACTGGTTGTATCCTGGATCACAGAGCTGAGCGAATCTCAGGAGGACATCTGAGTGGGCCCTTTCCTCCAAGACACCTCAGTCTACTTTTTTGAGCAACGAAGTCATGTGCAGGAAGGAGCAGGCCTCCATTTAAAAATGTGATATGTTCTGGAAGAAACTCAGGCCTGGATTAGGGAAATAGGAATGAAAATACAAGTCTCAAACAAAACTTGGCCCAAAGACAGAAAAACAATACGTCCACCTGGACAGCTAACGACAGTGGTATAAAAATTCATCTTGAGGAATACTTTTATCTTCAGGGATATCTTCTAGGTCTTCCACTTGGCTCTTCCTGGGAGACTAGGTAACCTAAAGGTGTGCATGGAGGCATCTCACCAGTGGTTCATTTCCTTAAAAATGATTTTTAGAACATTCTGGTTTGTGTTCCTGCTGTGCTCTCTCCTCAGACATCTCACAAAGCACTTGTCTCTAGCTCCCTTGTGTCCAGGTCTCCTGTGTATGGATTTCATATTACTGTGTATGTGACTTTCACACTGGCGAGAACAGTGCATGAAAGAGAAGACGAGAAAAAGCACAGGATCTTGTGTCCTCCTTCTAAGAAATTCCAGCCCTGTAGAGCACCTGGCAATTTATTGCTCTTTTCCACCAGTTTTTTTTTTTTTTTTTTTTTTTTTTTTTTTTTTTTTTTTTTTTTTTTTTTTTTTTTTTTTTTTTTTTTTTTTTTCTTTTTCTTTTCCAGTAGATGCCTGATACTGAGCAGACAGACCCTCTTTCACCAAGCGCAAGACAGCTATGGTGATCCCCTGGGGTCTGTGCTGGCACTAGCAGCAGTGAATGTGGAAGCAGCATTTTGGGGGCATCAGTACATCTTCACATGGAGACAATTTTGAGGGTGGGCGCCATCTACTTCCTGTTCGCCACAAACCCAATTCCCTCAGGATGCAGGGCTCACTACAGCTGACGGGTCATACTTCTAATGAAATACTCCCTTTATAATAGGATTGTGAAGAAGACAGAGGGGTGCCTATGCTGAAGTTACAAATCTGCTATATTCTAAACCCACAGAAAAGAACAAGCAAGGTGTCATTTCCAATGCCCTTTTTGCTGGACACGTCTGTGTCTAATAACACCCCTGATCTGCAGCTAAATCAATAAACATGTGCATGTACATCCAAAGGCCTGAAAAGTTCCCCAACAAGGTTCTCAGTAAAACTCTATGCACTCAGAGGGTTAACGTGCTATATTAGATACTGCAGATCCTAGCTTGACTGATGAAAACATTCATTGTTTCTATGTTTAAAAAAAAAATTTTTGCAAATTAGCCTTAACCCTTTGAGGACCCTATTAGCAGCAAATTACCATCTTCACAAACACCGAGTGTCATCTCATTCAGTAAAGGGAAATCGCTACAAAGATACCTGAAAAACACACTTTCTGTTCCGCCATTCAAGCATTGAGTGCTAGATAGATCAGATGAAACTGTTTGACATAAATTTTGGGAAAAAAATCTCAGAGTCTCAAAGGGTTAAGCTAGGATTTTGAGTAAAAGGGTCTCATTAAAAGGGCGAGTTGGGGGAGCGAACAGTCTCGGAGGAGCTTGGGGAGTAGTCTTCTGATTCCGAGTTGAGTTCTGGCGGAGCTGGCTGCGCCTTGTACCGGCTCCTCACATCCTGGTTGCGTCTTCGTCGGAAAACCTGCCTCTCCTTATCAAGAGCGGTGGTCTAGCAGGGGCATAAAATGAGAAAGAGGACAATTAGGCCGAAGGAAATGGCAGGAGTAACTCTTTCTAGAACTTTCTGAGGTTGGAAAAATATGCTGGCCATTTGAACCTGTCCATTATGGCTCATTTTTGTTGACAATAGTCTCCACTCTGGAGGAGCCCTCTGCTCCCCCAAATCTAGTTCTTTCGAAGACCTGGTCATGACATCAGCAGGCACAGGAAGGATGGATGATGTCAGGGGTTCCATTTCTCCCCAGCTCTACCCAGACTTCCACTAGATTCACATGTATTATTCTTCATGGCTCCCAGGATAACCAGAGACCCCCTAATAAATGGGAGCCCCAGCCCTGTGGGTGTGCCACGTAGGAATGCCCACCAGCCATATTGGTCAGCTTGCAGTTTAAGACACTGTATAAGAAAGATGAGAAGTGACAAAGTGGTCAGACACAGAAACGAGCTACAAGCTTATTCTGCTCTTTTAGCAGCCCCTCACTCCAAATAACCTTACTAGCTGTTGATGGGGGAATGTGGCCGAATCCCTGGGATAGATTGGTTTAATTTTAATGAAACTAACGTCTGAAATTGAACACTGCCTTGAATGCAATAAAGCCAAGAGAAAACCTGCCTATGAATTTCTCTTTACAAAGTGCATTCTCATTGTCGTTTGTGGCAATTTATGAAGCTGAAATTCAGTGCTGAAGGTATTCCAACTCCTGGTCTCTACGCCTCATTTTCCTGAGGAAACCTTGGATGATCCCCAGGATGCACTATGTGACTGTAGTTCTGGAAGTTATTACGACATCAGAATGAGGAACAGCATGATTTCATCACAGATTTAATGGGTGTGGGGAAGAATGGGGTCATTACAGAGAAACCTTACACAGAAAGTAGAAGAGCAGATACAAAGCCTGAAGAAAAATATAGAACACATATAAAAGTTGAAGGCATCCTTGTTTGAAAGTCCCTCTTTAAAAGGCTGTAGCCTGGAGGTTATTCTGCTTTTAAGAGATTACTTTTCCTCTACAGGGATATATGCCACCATTTTTCCCCTTGAAAATTTACTGTTAGCTTCTTCAAAGAACAGAGATAAATTTATAGGCAGCCTGGTTCTGAGAACAAAGTGAAAACTAAGCCCCTCATACAATTGCGGTATAGCATTAGAGCAATCTTAGATCTAAAATAGGGCAATCAAAGTTCCAAAATGAAGTAATAAAGAGAGAAAGAGAGGCAGCGTGTAGAATCAGCACAGTAAATGGTTTCGTTAGGCTGAACTGCTCTACTTTAAAAACTATCCACACACTGTATAATAGTGTTACAAAGCAATGAGGAGGATAAACTTTAATAATTCGCTTTTTGTCTCTCGAGATTGTTAAAACAATGATTCAATAACTAGTTTGTTGAAAATTCTACCTTTGATTCTTCTACTTGTTGAATATTTAAGGACCCTTGTAGACATAGTTCTTGGCCTTAACAGCTATCAATTTTAGGATATTTTAAGCATCATAAACCCAAATTCCTAACTTCATTTAAAACATTGTAAAGTCACAACACATGGTATTTTGCTTTCAAAGCAAACTGAAAACGTTCTGTTTGTGTAGAGTTGAATGTTTGTGAAAAACAGACGTCTATTTAGTCTGTCTTCCATGAAAAACGCATTCTGCCGTTGATCCAAGAGTAATATAAACTCTTCTCTTGGTCATAAAAATATTTCAATTTCTACCTTCTCAAGAAAGAAAAAAGTTATTGGCATTGGGCTGAATTCTGACTAGTGAACAGAGCAGTCAGATGTGGGAAGAAAAAAATACATTGGGCTTGGGGCCGGAATTTTGTGTTCTGCTCTGTCTATAGCTGGCTGTGTGAGGCATTTATGCTCTTCTCGCATCTGCTAAATATAGAGTAGGATTAATTCCTTCCCACCCTTACAGAGATACTATAGGTTAAAAAAATAAAAATTTAAAAAAAGATGTGCAAATAAATGCTTTCCAATCAGCCAAGACTCCCAGACACATAAAGCAAGTTTTTTATTTAATCTCTTTATAATTTGATGTAAGACATTGTTTTAGAATTAAGTAACTGAAGGTCAGAGGAAAGTAATGCAAAATAAAGATTGCGTTAGAACTCCACTCAAAGTCCTTTCCCTCTATCCTTCCCATTCATTGGCACCTTTTCCTATTTATCTTGTCTCCCACAAACTACTCAATTACTCCAAGTCACACTTTTGGCTTCAGCCACTGAAATGCACCATTTCTCCACAAATACCACAATTCGGTTTATGCAAAAGCTGGTGGCAAAAAATGTTGAGCCCATGCTTGGAAAATTCTACCGCCCTTATTTTCACCTTCATCTCGGCAAATCCTGTTTAGAGCAATCATATTCTCTTCCTTATTTGTCCTTCTGCCTAGAGAACCCTGGCCCTGCTCCTGTTTAAGTGGTCAGTTATGACCAATTCTGTCCATTTGATTAATTAGTAGCTTTCTAAATGGTTACCTTTGTAAATAAACCTTCATATGCAAATGTCCCTGAGCTTCTAGTTGTATGGTTCACCCATATCTTTTTTTTATTTTTTTTGAGAGCTTTTTTGCCATGGGCACATGTGCTCGCCAGACAGACAGAGAGAGAAAAAGAGACAGAAAAGCAAGAAATCAGCCCCCGGGGAGATGGTCACACCACAATCCCTTCTCCTCCATTCTCCTCTCAGGATCCTGGGCAGGCACGCACATGTGCCTGGCGTAAGTTTTAAGCCACCGGGTCCGGGACTCGAAACACATTTGACTACATGGGAGTCCAGAGACATAACCATTATGCTAACTGCTGGTCCCATGGTCCACCCATATCTTCATGGCATTCATTCTCTGGAAACACATCATGGTCATGATCAGATCATGGAATATGGGTATGGTGGTTGTTTCTATTGGTCTTAAGGACTTTAAGAGTTGAAAGAGGATCGAACCAGCAGTTAGCACAATGGCTATGTCATTGGACTCCCATGTACTCGACTGCAGTTCGAGTCCCAGAGCGGGTGGCTTAAAATTCATGCTAGACGTGTGTGCATGCGTGCCCACAATCCCAAAAAAAGAATGGAGGAGAAGGGATTGCGGCGTGGCCATCCCCTGAGGGGTAATTTCTCACTTTCTGTCTCTCTGTCTCACTCTATCTGTCTGACAAGCTTACATGCCCTATAGCAAAACCTT